ACGACAGTCGTCCAGGGCATAGCAGGCGTGGCATTTTCTCGACACCGCTGGGGGTGCGCAGGGGGTGGTCCCTCAGGGCGGCCGCTTTGCACGACGGTCGTCCAGTGCATAGCAGGCGTGGCATTTTTTCGACACCATAGGGGATGCGCAGGGGTCGGCCCCTCACCGTGGCCGCTATGCGCGCCGGTAGTCCACGGCATAGCAGGCGTGGCATTGTCTCGACACCATAGGGCGTGCGCAGGGGGTGGTCCCTCACCGCGGCCGCTATGCACGACGGTCGTCCAGGGCAAAGCAGGCGTGGCATTTTCTCGACACCATAGAGGGTGCGCAGGGGGTGGTCCTCACCGCGGCCACTATGCACGACGGTCGTCCAGGGCATAGCAAGCGTAGCGCTTTCTCGACGCCAAACGGGGTGCGCAGGGGGTGGTCCCTCACCGCGGCCGCTATGCGCGCCGGTCGTCAAGGGCATAGCGGGCGTGGCATTTGCTTTACACCACGGGGTGCGCAGGGGGTGGTCCCTCACCGCGGCCGGCATGCGCTCCGGTCGTCCAGAGCATAGCAGGCGCTGCAACTTCTCGACGCCATAGGGGGTGTGCAGGGGGTGGTCCCTGACCGCGGCCGCTATGCGTGCCGGTCGTCAAGGCATAGCAGGCGTGGCATTTTCTCCACACTTAGGGGGTGCGCAGGGGGTTGTCCCTCACCGCGGCCGCTATGCGCGCCGGTCGTCCAGGAGAATAGCAGGCGTGGCACTGTCTCGACACCATCGGGGATGCGCAGGGGGGGCGGTTTCCCAGGGCCTAGCGCGCGTTGCATTTTCTCGAGGCCACAGCGGTACGCAAGCGGGGGGGGATAGAAGGCTAGGAAGAAGGAGGAGGTTCAAGCAATATGGCGTTGGATGACACATAGGGCATTCGCGACGAGGAATCAGAACGCAGAATTGCGCATATATCTCATCACCTTAAGCAAACACCTAAGATCTAAATGAAGTATGTGGGGTTCCTCGGTGGCGTAATTTGTGAGTATTTGGGGGCATCTTTTTGCGCATTTTGGGGGTACTTTTGATTCTTCCTCCAAAATCCCCCTGTAGGGTGACGGGCCCGACTCAACCTGGCATCGCCCGGACGTGTGCATGTTTCCCTCGGTGAGGACCATCGAGGAGCATCCTTGATCACTTGGCGAAAAAAACACGCACGAAACCGAAAAAAACACGGGAAATGGACGCCCGAGCGATGGCAAGTACGCGCGGTGAGGAGGAGGAGGAGGAGGAGGAGGAGGAGGAGGAGGAGGAGGAGAGGAGGTAGAAGGAGTGAAGAAAGAGGAGGAGGAGGATCGAGGGAGGAGGAGATGGAGGTGGGGAGGCGGTGGACGGAGGTGGGGTGGAGGAGGAGGAGGAGGAGGTGGAATGGACGTCCGAGCGATGGCCCGACGTAATGCTGGACAAGAGGGCGGGGCCCGCCGAGGCCTCGCGCGGTGCCCCGTGGGCGCCTCCTGCTGGCGCCCCCGGGGTGCGCCGGCTGGGCCCGCCGAGGCGGCGCCCGGTGGGCGCCCGGGG